GGAAGCCGATTCGATAACAACGTGTAAGCGAGAGGTAGATAATTATTTGGGGAGGACAAGCTTGCAGGGCTATGGGGAGAGAGGGAGCGGGGGAGTGGGATTGAATTGGGAAGCTCTTTTCAAAGAGCCGGCACAGACACGATGGGCCGAATGGCCTCCTTCTGCGCTGTCTAATTCTACGACTCTATGTCCAGTACTAGGATTCTTATACATTAAAAGTAATTTAATATATATATACCTCTTTTGCCCAGCAGATGACAGTGTACTGCCACACGTTAACACTGTTGTCAGGAAAATAGGAACTGTTGTGTGATATCCACAGGATATGTATATAAATATACATTTATTTTAGAATTGGAGTGCTTTCGTATTAAATCCTAGTCCAGGGAGTGTTCCCACTCAACAATAAACTCGACAACAATAAAAAAAAACAACTTCCGTTTATAATGCGACTTCACGGAGAACAACTGGGCCAAGCGGCAGTTTCCCCCCACTCACATTCTGGGGTTCCCCCCCACCCCACCACCAAGCCTTGGCTCTGGTCAACCTGCGACCAATAATACTGTCTGGAATTAGATAAGCGGGATGACATTCCTCCGGGAAGAGAAGGCGCATTCCAGGCACAGGGAAATTTCCTGCCTCTATGAAAGCCCTTTGTATTGTTGTGGTTAAAAGGGGCCCAAAAAAGTGAAGTGCAATTCTGATATTTCCCACTGGAGGGAAGGCTGGAACCGTCTAAATTGGATTGTCAGATTGCCTGCTCAACGTCCCCACTTCCCCAGTTATTAGCAGTGCCTTGAGATTTCCTCCCGATGTGAAAGGCACTTTGTGAACGTAAATTGTTGTTTTCTACGGATGCCTCAAAAGTTTTTATAACTCAAGCTTGGCAGCGGGACTTTGAACTCCAAGAGCCGTGGCTGACACTCCAACGGAGTCCTGGGGGTGCGTTGCAATGTCAGGGGTGACATTCCAGCGAGGTCCCGTCTGCCTGATCAGGTGGACGTTAAAGATCCCATTGGCACTGTTCGAAAGAGCAGGGAGTTGCTCTCTCCTGGTGTTCCGGCCAACAATTCCCCCAAATAAAATTGGTCACTCACTCCGTGGCTCTTTGTGAGACACTGCTGTGTGCGATTAGCTGCGTTCGCCCTCAAAAGATATGGTCGATCCACTTTACGGTACATCCTATGAAGCGCTTTGAGACAACTCGATGACGTGAAATACAAGGATTATTTCATTTATTATTACGCCTTAAATTTCGAATATTTTGCCCTTATTACATCGTGGCATTATTATTCTCAAAAAGAGAAGGGAGCTTCTCCCCTGTGTCCCGGCTAATAATCCCCCAAAATTAAATCGCTGTTTGTGCAACATTGCTGTGGACAATTTATCCCCAAAAATGAACAGTTGCTACACTTCACAGTAAAGTCCTGTGAAGCACTTCGAGACGTCCTCCCGACATTAAAGCCGCTATACCAAATGCAAGGATTTATTCATTTAAACAACTGCCAAAATAGACTTCAAAGCTGAATTCGACAATTTGCCAAATTCTGGACCCTCTAAAACGCTCCGTAAATCGAGTAAATCTTCACGCGGGTGGAATATATTTGCAAAACAAAGGTTTGAGTTCGCTCCCTCAAGACCTTCCTCTTCGACCGCACTTTGCCCCCCTTTGCCCTCCCCCACCCCGACCCCCAGCTCGGATCCGTAACTCTGTCTGTCCAGCGCCTTGGGACGTCCTCCCGCCCTGAAAGGCGCTTTTACACATGTCATTTCGCTGGTGTTGTTGAGACTGTCTTTACGTGAAAGGCGCTGTGTAAGTTATTATTTCATTACCTTTACGAAAAACAATTGTCAAGAGAGAATTAAAGAACCGATTTACAAAAGAGTGTTGCTTTTCTTTTTTAAAAAAAAACCCACCCGTAGCTATCTAAAGTGCCAGGCTTTGGGTGTGTGAGTGTATCTGGAGGTTTAAGGAGTGCGTTGTGCGCCTGAGTTCCATCTTTCCGAGAACTGTCGCACCTCAATGCCTTGAGCAACCACCTAGCGTTTGACCGATAAGGGTCCCGCAGCTTGCGACTGGTACAATTACTCAGCAACTTTCAGCTCAGCATCTGCTGCTGAGTCACTGGATTCGGGTGGATGCCTCCGATGCTGTTTGCCGCTGATGCTGGTATCAGGATTGAAGGCAATCAACATGCAGTTCAAGGCAGGTCATGAGCGAGTCTGCTGGGGAGGCGTCCTATTCAATTATCAGTCAACTTCACACTCTCCGTTTGACTTGTGCCAATTACTCGCAAAACGTGCAGGATCTCTGCACGACTGGAGGAAATTTTGTTGACACGGCGACATCGCAGAGTTTCATTAGTATTATTTCAGAATAATATTCCCACTGTTTGTGAGCGCAATCGGCTGCCGTGTTTGGCCCACAAAATACACAATCCCTCCACTTTACAATGTATTCTGAGAAGCGCTTTGAGACGTCTCAGCGAGGCGCTATTTGTGGAGTCCTGTAGCTCAGTGGTTAGAGCACTCGCTTTGCAAGTGAGAGACCTGAGTTCAACTCCAGGCAGAGGGCGAAACCTTGTGCAAGTTTCCTTACTCCACACAGAGCCTAATAATAATCCCTCCAAAACCAAAAACAATAATAAATTGGTCATTTTCAATCCACGACTGTTTGTGGGACATTGCTGTGCGCAATTGGCTTCCGCGTTCGCCCACAAATATATAGTCAATTCACTTTACAGTGTGTTCTGTGAAGCGCTTTGGGACGTCCTCCCGACGTGAAAAGCGCTATATCAAATGCAAGGATTATTATTATTATATTATTATTATTAATGCATGTTTTTTTTCCTGTGTGAATTTATGTTCCCACTTGGCTGGTAGCTGGAAGGGGAACAGAACAGCATTGCAGTGTTGTGGTTTTCAATGGGAGTTCCAAGGCATGTAACCTGATGGCTGAAAGCTTGCTGACCGACAACACAGTGAAGCCCAACAACGTCGAGTTCGAAATAGTGGAGGGTTTTGTTACCGGAATCGAACAATATTGCATTGGAGATTGACTCTCAGTTTCAAAGCCGATTCTCTGACCTTCTTTAGAAGATCCGGCTTCCAAAGTTAAAAATAAAAATTCTACAATTCTGCACGACCTTAGCACATGTTGTCTGTTTCGCCCACAAAATATACATTCAATTCACTTCACAGTATCTTCTGTGAAGCGCTTTGAGACATCTCGAAGACGCTATATCAAATGCAAGGATAGTATTATTATTATTATTTTAAGTCTGTGCCTTAAGCTAGTCTTTTGGGCTATAAACCAAGAATTTTGATCCTCTGGGGAGTGGAGCCGGTGAAACTGGATGGAATTTTGCTCATCAATTCAAATTTTTAAGTCAAAAATAAAATTCTGCTCATTTTGTTTTAAAAAGACAGACTTTGCAATCACCGAGGGCCGGTAGAATTTCAATCATTTACAGTGCCACATTGCCAACTGCAGTGGATTCAATTCTAATGAATGTTAATAATGATAATAATCCTTGTATTTGATATAGCACCTTATCACGTCTCAAAACGCTTCGCAAAATGTACTGTAAAGTGAATTGACTATGTTCTGTGGGCGAAATGAGGCAGCCAATTTACTTGCTTATCCATTGCAGTCATCTGCAAGGAATGTGGTTACATTAGCAACTTGCTGGTGAAGGTTATAGTTGTGAAAATATAAATTTTTTGAAACAATTAAGCCTCTCATGGACTTGTATAGAGCCGGAAAAGCACAATGTTCTCCTGATGTAAAAGTGCAAATTGTTGTTGTATACTCTATATATATATATATATTTATTGTAGCTTCCTTTTTCCTAGAAGTAGTTTTGGCTCATCTCATATCGTTTGTTGAAGGATTTTAAAATGAATTGTTATGAGGATTCTGTCTTCACTGTTATCTTCATATGAAGCCTCACTTAGGAATTCAGTGGTGAATGTCGATGTAATAATCTAATAATAATATAATCCTTGCATTTGCATTGCCTCCTCATTGAAAAGATCCAAATTGTTTCACAGGATTTCACCGCAAGAAAATGGTAAATGCAGTAAATCTAAACCCAGGTGGAATTTTCTCCTCCGCCTGCGTGTTAAAATGAAATGAATAAAAAAATACTTTTCAAAAAATATTTAAGAACGGTGTCGATAAGAACGTCATTCTGTATTTATTCGGAAAGCATGGTGCGGTCTACACTTCACCATCTCAAACGAATTTGGGGCAAATTTCTTGAAAGAACTTGAAACGAATGGTATTGAAATTGAATGTGCAATTTGTGAGTGATTTTAGCCCAACGCATTTGGTTTGCGCTAAAGAGAAGCCCATATGATTGCAGCCACTACAAGTTGCAGTAAACCTCGTGGATCTTTGCATTTTAAATATTGAGACGTTTTGGTGATGCGGTAAGATTTCACAGTAAAGTCCTGTAAAGCAGTAGCGAGACATTCTTGACGACGTGAAAAGCCACTATGTCAAGGAGTCACCTCCAAGGTATGGAGAAAAAGGCAGACAAATCAGGTGAAAGGATGGTTCTTTAAAAGAGTCAGCACAGGCATGTTGGCCCAAATGACCTTGTTGTGTTAACGACCCTGTAAGTTTCTATAGTTCGACATCAAATGCAAGAATTATTATTAGCAGTAGTATCAAAAATGATACGTTATTAAATAATCTGACAGACATTCGGAGGGTTTCAGAGTTGTGTGCAGGGGAGGGACGGGAGAGAGGAGGTGTGCATGGCTTTCGAAAACCCATATCTCTGCCGATCAGCTGAAAATGAAGGGGGGGAAACGGATGATTAGTTGGAAGAGTTTCAATGTGCATTACGCCTTATCGCCGCACTTTGGTTGGCAAAAGAGGGGGGAGGAGAGACGACTCAATCCTGTTCAGGCGAGAACCAATAGGAAGCTGTGAGCAAAAGGGTGGGATTAGAAGCTACACAATATAAACTTGCCGCTGGAAGTGCCCAGCATCGCATTTTCTCTCCTAGTTCGGAAGAAACAAGATCCCACTTGCAGCCATGGTTCTCTCAAAAACCGACAAAGCTCTCCTCAGCAGCAGCGTTGGCAAAATACAGGCCCAAGCGACTGGTTCAGATGTTTTGGCCAGGTAACGGGTTCATATTTGATTGGGGGTGAGGGGGGGACGCGGCAGGGTAGTGGTTTGCTTTAATGCCAAGCCTTGGGTCTCAAGTGAGTGGCATCGATAAATTGTAATCCTGTTTCCTAGTACTTTCACAGCGATTCATACTGCAATTCTAGATAGTATTAATGCATTTCCTGGCAAACAAGGCAATGGAGTTTAACTTGTTTTTCTTTCCCCCACTCCCACCACTCTCTCTCTCTCGGTAGGATGTTTGCGAGCTTCCCTCAAACCAAGGTGTACTTCGTCGGCTTCAGCGACTACACTGCAAAAGGCCCCAGAGTGCAGAAACATGGCTTGACTGTCATGACAAAGATAATCGAGGGGATTCAATACCTGGATAGCTTGAGAAGTTTCTTGGATGCGCTCAGCGCCAAACATGCCCATGAGCTGATGGTGGACCCCGTCAACTTTGGGGTACGTAAACCTTTAACACCCCACTGTCCTCGCTCAACCACCCCGAAAAAATAAGTTACAATTGAGCCTCCTTTACACTGTCACTTGATAATAATTCCCTACATTAATAATAATCCTTGAATTTGATATAGGGCTTTATCAGGTCGTTATGACTTGACATAGGTCATTGTGAAAACGCACCACTTCCTTAGTCCGTTGAACTAACTCTGAAAACTTTTTTACCGAGGATAATTTGTCAATGTTAAGTACCGTTATTCTTATTCATGGTGTTCGGAAAGCTGTCGGGAAGTCCTGTAAGTAACGCTGCTTTTCTGTTCTTTCTTGCAGTTTTTGGGTGAGTGTGTGCTGTCCTCATTGGCTTACCAGCTGCCCGACTTCTCACCTGAGATGCATTGCGCCTGGGACAAATACCTTTGCGAATTCGCTTACCTTCTGGCCGAGAAGTATCGTTAAACATCAACTGATGGAAGTTTCCGGAAGAATGGCATCTTTGTTTCACTCAACTGTTCGGGAAATAATGCCTCTCAACACGCTTTAAATCTCCTTTTTTTTTCTCCGCTCGTGCGATTTGCTGCCGTTTAATCCCATTTCTCACAAATATTTCTCTTTGTAAACTGGGGGGGGGAGAAGCCAAAATGAATCGCAGAAACCACGTGTTGTAACAATCTTAACGTTCAAGATCCCAGGAAAACTTGTAACAAATAAAGCATTGCTTTTTCTTTCAAATCACTTGTGTTGTTGATCATTTTCATTCGCGGAAAAAAAATAACCCCAAAACAAACACGCATTTTGTTTGCATAATATACGAACATATCACGGCAAAAACACACCCTAAAACTTTACGCCTTCTCATACTTTGTAGAGGAAAGGACATCAGGCTGTTAATCAACTGTTCTAAATCCATCACTTACCGAGAGGGTGAAAATAATACCATCTTAAATTATGACTGTTTAAAGGAGTTAAATTCAACGCATTTTTTTTAAAAAAAACACAGAAAACTCACGATCAGAATAAGTCCCCCACTTTCCCATACTCTGCAAACGCAATCAAAAAGGAAGGTCTTTAGGCGGGATTTGAAAGTGCAATATCCAGACAAGTGGGCAAACAGCAACACAGGGAAGTTCCACACAGATACGGAGCGGAGCATGGTCTGTTTTTGGGTACTCCGAAGCATTGCGATGGGATGTGTCAGTCACTTGATTGACTCTCTTCCACAATTAGATAGTTTTCCTTTAGGAAATGACGTTGTGGGAGATAGTACACGGGGAGTTCAGGACATGAGTGCATGGGATCACCAGGAAGGTGGACGGTGAACTGGATGGACCTTGGTGTTTTTTGTGTCTGGCATTTCTTATGTTCTCAATTGTTGAGCTCAGTTTGTACGTGGAATCAAAGTTAAGATCTAAAAAAGCCTCCAAACTGATGGTTAGTTCAGGAAACGGAGCAAATTCTAACGAGGCCTCTACTAGTCTGAAGTTTCGGGTGAATGCAGAATTGGGGTTGAAATATGAATTGGACCCCACCCGGAGTCAATAAAAATTGACTCTTTCATCTCAGCCTATCTCAGCTTCACCTTCCATTGTGCGGTTGTTTAAAAGAACTTACTGAAAACCGGCTTCAAAAATTAAATGGTGATCGTAAACCCTTAGTTTTATTATCTGGAGTACGTCTCAAAGCACTCCACAGGATTTACTGTCAAACAGAGTGGCTGTTTGTCTCGTGGGCAAAGTAAAAAGGTTCGAGATAGACGCACTCAAATGTTACATGAACTGAATCTAGACACAGCTGAAATTTCTCTCCCAGTGGTAGCACCGTCTATTGAATTGAAAACAATAACAATAATAGTCATCCTTGCATTTGATATAGCGCCTCATCACCTCGTTGAGGCGTCTCAAAGCGCTTCACAGGATAGACTGTAAAGTGAATTGACTGTATATTTTGTGGGTGAAATACGGCAGCCAGTTTGACACAGCAATGTCAGCCTCGACGATATGATTCCACGTCCCGATGTGGTGTTTGAACCCATAGACACGGCTGGGAATTGTTCTGCTAAGATATTTTTCACCGTAAATGACTTTCCAGAAGCTGTGCTGCTGTGCTTCACTTCTCTGCGACTCAGCAACTTTCACAAACATGAATTTTACATTAGTTGAGTAAATCGCAAACACAAAGTATCTGTCTCACCAGATGTTTAATATAAAACTATGAATGTGGAGGGCATAGAAGAGAGAAACTTTTTCCATGAGCCGTGCTCGTAATAATAATTTTGCTGGAGATATGATTGTTGAATAATTGTGATTATTTTTCTCTTAGGTTATAAGAAAAATTCCTGAACACTATAGTATTGGAAGTCACAACAAGTGTTCGAGAATGTTTTAAAAAATACAGTCATAGTTATTTAAATAATTTTCCAACTGGGAAGCATCACCGTTGAAATTAAAGAGCGTACAATAAAATTCTACACTTAAGGAACGTTGCAAAAGATTTAAGACTCTTTCATAAAGTATTTGTATTGCTCAAATATTTATCAGTAGAAATAGTATTTCCAGACACGAGTGTTCAAATGTGAGAGTGATTTATAGGAAATAATTACCCACGTCTCCTTAAGAGAACAACAAAAGAATCCTCCTCTAAATTTGTTCAAAATTGTTATTCAACAAAGATACATGAGGTAATAAATTAATAATTGTTGCGTGTGGAGTCCTGTACATTAATAATAATAATCCTTGCATTTAATATAGCGCTTTTCACGTCGGGAGGACGTCCCAAAGCGCTTCACAGAACACACTGTAAAGTGAATCGACTGCATATTTGTGGGCGAACGCGGCAGCCAATGGCGCACAGCAATGTCCCACAAACAGTCGTAGATTGAAAATGACCAATTTATTATTGTTTTTGGTTTTGGAGGGATTATAATTAGGCTCTGTGTGGAGTAAGGAAACTTGCCTGAGGTTTGGCCCTCTGCCTGGAATTGAACTCAGGTCTCTCGCTTGCAAAGCGAGTGCTCTAACCACTGAGCTACAGGACTCCACATGGCTCTAATGGCTCGAGCGCTCGCCTGGCAAGCGAGAGGATCTGGGTTTGATTCCCAGCAGAGGGTGAAATGTTGGGCAAATTTCCTTACTCCCCACGCCTCTGTTTACCGAGCAACAAGTAGGAACCCATTTGTTAGTTGATTGTCGGATCGCTTTTCCGGGGGGAATAATCCCTTAGAAAAAAATCAGTCGCTAAATCCACGGCTGTTTGTGGGACCCTGCTGCGCGCCCACAAAACAAACAGCCAATTCACTTTACCGTATATTCTGTGAAGCGCTTTGAGACGTCTCGAAGACGTGATAAGGCGCTATAGTAAATTCGCGGATGATTATTACTTGACATTGTGCCTTATCACGTCGTCAAGGCTTCTCAGAGTACTTCACGGGATTTTACCGTAAAATGTAGTGACTTTGTATTTGGTAAGCAAATTTGACCATCGATTTGCGCACAGCAATGTCCCACAAACAGCCATAAATTGAGTGACCAATTTTATTTGGAGGCCAGTTAGCCAGGACAGGGAGGGAAACTCCTTTCTCTTACACTAAGTGTCATATTAGCACTTGTCTTTGACGATCGCTGTTCTTCTTTGTTAGGATTCCCGGTTTTCCTTGTTAGGACGACTGTTTATTGGACGCTGCAAAGTATACAGTCAATTCACTTTACAGCCTATTTTGTGAAGTGCTTTGCGACACCTCAAAGACGTGAAAAGCGCTATATTAAATGCAAGGATCGTTATTATTATCATTATTATTTATTTAGTTTCAGTCTGATCTTTTTCTGCAGAGAGGAATTCCCCAAATTGAAGAAAATTAGTGAACTTTCTGATCTCAACTCCATTCTTATATACTATTGAGTTGTGAGTGCTTTCATTGATTGAATACATTGGCTGATGCAACCAACCTGTGCGAAAAGGTAAATAATAATAATAATAATATAACTTGCATTTATATAGCGCATTTTACGTGAAAAATCCATCTCAAAGCTCTTTACAAACACATCTCAAAGAGAGCTCTGCGTGCCTAGTTGACATTGTCGGGGTTTCGAAGCGTCCTGCTGAATTGAAAGGCGCTACATAAATTTAAATTCTATTTAAATTCGCAATTGTATTGCAATTGGAAAATGTAGGAGAAATTCCATCTGCGTCTAGATCTATGTAGCATTTCAGAGCATCCAGAATGCGACAAATTCTTAAATGCCGCCTTAATTTTGAAGCTTCTCTTTTGTACAGGGTTTTTAATGGATAGGTAAGCCACGTGGCTGGGAAAGAATTAGACAAACAATACCAAATAGTTTGATCGACAGGAAGAAAGCAATTGTTGAAACTTTCTTTTTCGAGCGACCTTTCCTGTCCGCCGATGTTTTTAAAAGTGAGTAGAGAAACAGCACGTAAATATTAAGGTCCTGCAGAATATTTCTTTAACAAAATGCTGGTTCCAACTGATATCACAGAATGAGCCAACTCCCTCTTCATGATGGGTGGGTCACAGTCTTGCTCGTGTAAGATAAGTTAAGATCGTCATGGGGTGGGGGGGCAAGTGGCGGAATTGATAGCTTTTCAAAAAAAAAGCAAATTAGTCGATTTTCCAAGAAGATATCAAAACAATGGTAATGATCAGTTAGTTACGTGGGTTTAATGTCCAAGGACTTGCATTATTTTGGTCTTTCTTGACATCTAATAATGTGTTTCGCCCACAAAATACACAGTCACTCCGCTTTACAATGTATTCTGTGAAGCCCTTTGAGACGTCTCGAAGACGTGACATATCAAATGCAAGGGTTAGTATTATTATATTATCATAACATTCTTCTGGGGGTTAAAATTTCCCTTGAAACGGTAACGAATGAAACCAACACACAACATGATTTTTACACTTAAGTGCGCGAGTGCACAAGATATTTGAAGCTACTGTGATCCAAAGAAATTCACAGCAAAAATCGAACGAAGTCCTACCTTTTTCCGAGTGCCTGGAACACAAACAGGTGGTCACGAAACTTTACAGGATCTCTGAAGTGCTTTGAGACGTTTCAATATGACAAGCTGCCATATCAAATGCAAGAATTATTATTATTATTATTATGGAACAAGATTGAAATAGAAGTCGGAGATCTTTTTTCCCCCCAAACCCTTGTTAAAATAATCCGCTGAATTGCTACGTCATTAAATCCAAGTAACTGTGAAGGCGACAAGAGCGATCACCATTAAAAGCTAGACGTAGAAATAAAATGCGAGCGTTGTTAGTTATAGATGAGGAAACCGCTTACTGATGGCTTTTCATTATAAAAGATACTCAAAAATTAAATGTCAGAATAAAATCATTGAATTAGGGTATTTAAGGAAACTGAAGATACTAAAAATTGCAAATTTCCTCTTACTATTGCCCACAAACTATAAAATAAATGTTCTTATTTTGTGTAAACTGAGACGCTTAATTTGCATTTAATTGGAATGACTGCTCATACCAAAGCCTGAGGAGAAACTGAAAAATATGGAACAAGAAACATACAAAAATTATATTGTTAAGTGACACTTTACTTTATGTAACTTTGAACAAAAAATGCCGCATACTCTTTAATTGAATTATATGTCATTTATATCAGATCAAGGTTGATTTCAGGGAAACTTTTAAGACTTCAGAATAAATGGCCAATCAAGAAACATACATATCACTCTTCCAGACCAACGATTCTAAATAAATTGATGTATACTTTCATTTTAGGTGCAAAGCAAAAAAAGGTTTTAAATACGTTTTGAAACGGAACATCATTTCGAAGTTATTTCCTTTAGAATTGTGCAACCGTTGCACATTACATCCAGTTTCGATGTCTTTTGTGCGTTGAAAACTTTTGCATTTTGAGACTGACATTTTAGTGTACTTTAATAATAATAATCCTTGCATGTAACCTACGCAGCAAAAAAAAACTTTGCTGAGTGATTCGGTATATTTCCATGTCTAGATTAGGTTACAATTTGTTTTAATAATTCACAATGGATAGACATTTGTCGTTAAACAAACTGACTGGTTATAAAAGTAAACCAGCACTTTAATTTAAGTATAAAGCGTTTCAATAATTTATTTTCTAGAGGGGGAAACAAATGTCTTGGGATAAAGGTATCGATTTCACCATTCTTTTTGAAAACACTGTTCCAGAAATCATTACGAATAACGATTAACATTTTGACTGAAGATGTAAGCAACTTGTTTATTGCTTTTTGTACATAGTTTGGTGTTACCTTAACGACTCCTTTTAATTCAACTTCAAATGGAGTTTGTTCTTTCAATATCATTAAGTCAACTGTGATAATTCTGTAAAATATTCATTCATTAGCCCAATGTCTTAATTCTTCTTAATGTGTTATATTATTCCATCTGCTAAACCTTTTCCGATTTGATTGCTTCAATTATAAAACGTTAATTAGGCATTTCATCATTTTATTGTAATGTCGCGTCAGAGTTCCATTTGCTTGCACTTTAATCCCGTGAAGCATTTTGAAACATCCCAAACTAAGAGGGGTGATATCAATTGCGAGGATTATTATTGCTTTTAAAATAATAAAACATGCACATTACTAAACGAGCACAGCGATCAGATGCAGTTAACAAAACAAGATTGAAAAAACAAAAATCTACATTCATGTTATTCAACTCTTCAGCTAAATATTTCTATCCAGTTTTTAGCAATTACCAGAAAATGTTAAACGGACATTATTTTATAATTGTATGGACAGTTGTTTTTAAAGGAGGTTTTAGAAAATAATGTTACTTTACATTAATTCATTCGCTTCCATTTGAAATGATTCACCATTTCAATCATCTTTTAAATAATCCTTGCATTTGATATAGGACATTTTTCACATTGAAATGGCTCGTAAAGCTTCACACAGTGAGTCATTTTGAATGGCAGTGGCTTTGACTACACAGGCAAACACCACAAGTTTAACTGCTCAGAGCTGTCTCCCACTAAAAGCAATGAGACAAATTAATTAATATAATACAAATACATTTCATTATTCACTTGTACCTTCAAACAATAGAATTGAAAGGTTCGGGAATTATGTTGGTAAATTAAATTTGTGCCAACTGATAACAGTTCAAAATGTTAATATATATATGTATATATTTATCAAATGCATAATAAGACAGACAGACGTCGCAATTAGAATTACGCAGATCAGAAATTTGGTTTTGGATCAAACTTAGAAGTAAAGAAGATTTGAAACATTATTTGGGGGGAAAAGTATTTGCGAAGGTGGCGTTGGACAGTTGGACAGTACTGGGAGGGAATGAGAGGGAGGGCCTGGTGGTGATGGGGTGGGGGAGTAAGGAAACCAATTGAGTCCTAGTGTCAACCCTTGGGCAGTAAGCCCATTACCCAGTTACACGCTGAGACCCCACCTACCAGTTGTTCTGCCCTATTGGGTTGAGGCATTAGTTTGGGAGGTGCCCATCTCCAAACTATAAAAACTGCGAGACAACTGCATATCAGCACAGCTTTCTTCCAGCATAATCCTCATCAGGTTGAGCTTGCAAAAAAGAGGCAGAAAAATGGTTCAGTGGTCACAGGCAGAGCTTGATGTCATCCAAGGCAAATGGGCTGCTCTAGACCCAGAAAAGTTCGGTGGCAAAGCACTCGCCAGGTTTGATGGCTTTCTTTTTATTTTATCCATTTTTTTTTGATGGGGAGAAGGGGGAAGAGAGAAAGAAGACACAAGCCTTCGCTGTTACAAACGTTCAATGATGATGTCTTCATCAAACCTCTGTCTTCTTCTGAGTTTCAGAGTAAAAGATTTTTTTATATAATTGAAGGGAAGGAAGAAATTGAGGCCCCCAATAGATTATGGGGGAAACTAATTCAAGTTTGATCGCTGTCTTCAAACGTGATTATTTAATTATTTAAATCCAAATGAGGAGTTCTGCTCGCATTGGTGTCATTCTCACGGTTTTGTGTGCATTTTTATTTACTGTTTTCGTTTTCCAGAATGTTTGTGGTCTACCCCTGGACCAAGAGATACTTCGGCAAATTCGGTGGCAGGTTCAAGGCCTCTGATCCGGTGGTCATGGAACATGGAGCCAAGGTGATGGGGAAAATGCAAGTTGCTGCCAAAGATCCAGAAAAGATTAAGGAAATCTTTGAATACCTCAGCAAGCGTCACTCTGATACCATCCATGTGGATCCCGAAAACTTCAAGGTAAAGGCGGCTGAATGAGATTTCGCTCCAAAGCATTGAGCCACCGCGCTCCCAAAGTAGAGTGAGGTAGACCGACAGGCTGTGGTTTGTTTTAACAGGTTCCACATTGCTTTCCTTGGGGTTGGGGTGGGAGGAAATTGACTAGAGATCACACAGAATTGGAGGAGAAATAGTTAGCCTGGGGTTGGCGCTTCGTAATGTTATTTCAAACTCGTGCGTGTCTCGGCTAATGTTTCGAAATATTTCTTCTGCAGCTCCTGGGTAGTTGCATGCTTGTTGAAATGGCTATGACCAAAGGAGACTGGTCCCCGGAAATCGAAGCAATCAACCGCAAATTCGTTGACGTCTCAATCGCTGCTCTGTCCAGAAAGTACCATTAAATCTGCGGAGAAAAGGGTGGCTCCGTTTTGTCTTATTTTGTTTCCTTTTTCGTTAACTCCGGAAAAGGAAACAAAAGGCAATAAGAACAACAATCGCCAGGGATCCATCTGAAACTAATGCAATTCTCTGTATGCTCTTAAGAAATTGGACGACAAGCAGGTTTTAAGACATGCGTGTAAAACACAATAAACTCTGATGAATTTCGAAAACTATTGCTTCAGCTTTGTATGCAATCTTGCAACCCAATTTATTTCCGAGAGTGTCTCAAGGAAATATTCCTGTTGCTTACTACTTCAATAAAAAAAATCAATACTTCTGACATTTTTGGGATACGTTTGATCATTTCACTGCAGCGATGAAACACAAGTGACACTGGACATGAAATCGGTTATCACAACACACGCGTCGCATTAGATAGACTGCACCGAACGGAACCCAGTCGTTTGCCTCAACTAACCTCCACCCCTCTTATTCCCGTCTCCCCACTCCTCCACTGTCCCTCTCGTGTGCGTCGTCAACAACAACTTGTATTTATACAGCGTCCTTCGCAAGGGAGCGCTTACGTTAAATACTCTTAATGCTTTTTGGCTTGAACCACAGCTTTCCACCATTTTGGAGTCCTGTAGCTCAGTGGTTAGAGCACTCGCGTTGCAAGTGAGAGACCTGAGTTCAATTCCAGGCAGAGGGCGAAACCTCGGGCAAGTTTCCTTACTCCACACAGAGCCTAATAATAATCCCTCCAAAACCCAAAACAATAATAAATTGGTCATTTTCAATCCACGACTGTTTGTGGGACATTGCTGTGTGCAATTGGCTGCCGCGTTCGCCCACAAATATACAGTCGATTCACTTTACAGTGTGTTCTGTAAAGCGATTTGGGACGTCCTCCCGACGTGAAAAGCGCTATATCAAATGCAAGGATTATTATTATTATTATTATTCTCACCCCTTTCTGCATGAGGCAGTTCCTCTGATATTCCTGTGAGCCCTGCCACCGCCTGGTATACATTTACACCCCTTGTTTTATACAACCCATGAATATGCACCTCATCGAATCCTTTACTTAATTTTAAACACAGATATTAAGGCATACAAAATGCTCCTGGGATCTGAAGCTTTAAGTCATTTCACTTACTTTTCATATTCATTATTATTTAGCCTTAGGAATAAAATTACATGGAAACCTCTATACCCTTCCACACATCTCCACACACATACACACACACACACACAGTCTGAGTGCGTTAAGGGAGATAAGCACTGGACTAACATAATGTGAATCACCTTTTTTTGTTCTTCATGGGCTTTGCATCGTTATCTTTTCATAAACATTTTGTGGAGGAAAAATCCTCAAATGTGGCTTTAAAAGTTTGGGTGCTGTGCGCAATTGGCTGCCGCGTTTCGCCCACAAAATATGCACTCAAATGGCTTTGCGTTATATTCTGTGAAGCGCTTTGAGACGTCTCGAAGATGTGATAAGCCACTGTATCGAATGTAAGGATTGTTAGTAATAAAAGTTTGCCTTCCTCAATGATAGAATCCAGAGGCTCTGCAGACTGGGAGATACAGTGTCAAGCTTATACCTAAAAGTTAAAAACTAAAAAAAAATGTTTTTCCAATGACTGTGAACTGCGGAAATGAATAAGTTATGTTAAAATGTGCTCAAAAAATATTCCTGTTGATCCTGTATAACAGGATAAAGAGAACAGGCTAAAATACATTTAAAGCAACAAATATATTTCTGTACAATGAAGTCAAGTGACTAACTGCTGTACTATAGCGTCACCCTGTGGTAATACCGCATGGAACTGCAATCCTTCAATACATCCATCCTACAGTACAGTATGTAAAACATTTTGATGTGTGAATTAATGCTACGGGTCAAAATTGACGGCTACGTTCGTCTACAAATACACAGGACCTTGTACATTTGTACCCAGGCTTTGTAGGGCCATTAGGACTGTTAAATAAGCCAATAAGCTGCGGTTGGAAACATAGAATGCAAAACAAAGCCAGAGCTGTTTGAGGTTAATTTGACACGGTTATAATATCGCCCCCCCATTGTGGTCATCTTCCAAATAACACCTTTGCTGACGCAGACAGTCTTTAGGCTTTATGTACAATATTTATGCTCTTTTATTGAAGGTTTCCAGCAACCGAGGCTTTTTTTTTTGTCTTTTCATTTTTATTTATAGAAACCTTTATTATACTTCAGGCTTTGGAACATCTGTCACTGGGAGGGGAGGGGGCATGGGAGCGGGTTCAATGAATGGGGAAAGAACGTTCCCGGGGGAGGGGGATGTTGAAAGAAGCCTTAAATTGCGAGTTATTTTGTGCTGGAAAATAAAATAATATAAAACAAACTTATCTTCGTGGTAAAGGCCTGACATTATGAACGGAAATGTCAATTATTCCCACTCAGCTGGGTTCCAGACAGAAACCACAACATTTTAAGGATTAAGAATCCTCTTAACTCAAGTAACCAAAGCAGATACAAGCCTTAAAATTGACAAAACTGCTGCTAAATCAACAGGAAATGTGACTCGAACCCAGCGAGATCCTTCAACGGAACCATTTGAACCAGCGCAGTGATCAGGCCAATTTGAACACTGCCTTTGGACTGATGTGCTTTCAGCTGCTACCCCCTGAATCTCTGGACCTCCTCGTCTCCATCCTTTTTGTCTTGCCCCCTATTTTGATCGCCTTCAAATCACACTGGAACACTTTCCTCATTGACTGTGCCTTCAGTCACCTCGACACCAACAACGACGACAAAAAATGACATTTGTACAGCGCCTTTCGCGTCAGGAGGACGTCCCCAGACGCTGGACAGTAAGGGATCTGCTCCCGAGCTGGGGGTTGGAGGGCGGGGAGGGGTGGGGAAGGAGGGTGACCGAAGGCGCGGTCGAAGAGGAGGGTCTTGAGACGGGTCTTGAAGGAGGCGGGTGGGGGTGGGGGGGGCAGAGTGACTGTGGGATGGCGTTCCAGAGGGTGGGGGCAGAGAGAAGGGCGCTTTATAAATGCAAGTGTTAGACGTTTCCTTCAGAAAAATAAGAATTGGGTCACTTCAATCCACGGCTGTTTGTGGGGACGTCGCTGTGCGCCATCGGCTGCCGCGGTCCGGCCACGACATATTACAGTCGATTCACTTCACAGCGAGAAGCGTTTTGAGACGTCTCGAAGACGTGATAAGACGCTGCGTCGGAGATAAGGATTATTATTATTTATTGTGCACGTTGTTGTTGTTGTGGCAGTTCCCCTCTGCTCCTTGTGGTGGAGCCATTGAGCCGTGAACAAGGTTTTAACGGCAGTCAGCGCTGCCACCTACTGGACACTTTGCAGTCTTGCAACAACTTCCATCTTTGGCACACCTGTGCACACCTGTGGCATCGGCAAAAAAAAACAAGCAACGGGGTGATTCAGCACCTGAGAGACCCAGTGACTCAGTTATCAGGACAGGTTTCACGAGATGAAATGGTTCAGTGAGCAGCCCTTTGCCTCCTCGGCTAAATCCAACTCGGTCATCGCAGATTTGGGATGAACACAGAAGTCGCTGGGAACACTCAGAAGGTTGGATGGACACCTACGGGGAGAGGGACGGGTGTTAACGTTCCTCATTGGACTCTTAAGCGCTGAAATCACCCCCGTTGTTCGATAGCGTTTCGTCAGAACTGGACTTCCCCGGTCTCTATAGCATTGGCTTCACTAACCGAGGCTTCGGGGAAAACTTGGAGACATTCCTGGGTGCAAAAATGAAAGTAGCAGTGGCCTGCAAATGATTTAGGGGGTTGGGATTCAGTCCTTTAAATGGCTGGGAACCCTGAATAATGTAAGCAGGCGTTGGCTGTTCCACTTAGTTCATGAGAACAGGATTAGAAGGCACGGCTTTAAAAACCTCAAACAGGGACTATAGCTTAGAAAAAATAGTTTCCCCACCCACTAATGCTGAAATATTCCTTGCAACTAGACTGTCTGGAATGTCTCAAAGCACTTCTAAAAGTTTCTGCCTGCAACGTGTAGCGGGTGTCCATGTGCAGGCAAGTGCAACAGCCATTTTTGTGCCCAGTAATGTCCCACAAACAGTCTTGACGAGAGCGACCAACTTTATCTGGGGGATTGTTGGTCAGGACCCCAGGAGAAACTCTTTCCTTGAGATTTTGAATGCCTCTCCCCCCCCCACCCACCATTAAAAAGGTTCTCCCCCCAGTACTGGGCTGGAGCGACGGTGAGTTCAGAATCTCAATTTGGGGCTTGAATCCACGACCTTCTGGATGGCTGCCAGATTTGCTTACAAATGCACAGTCATTGCAGTTTGCAGAAATTCCCTGTGACATCGATAGGTGCTCTGTCAACCGGAATGCTTATGATCTCTTGCTGCTTTATTTCCCTTTCATCGCACGAATGCTGTAACACGCAAATAATTATCCCCCAGCTACCTTAAAAATCAGGCAAACATCAACTAAACGCCTGCAGCTACGACAGAGATGCTTCGCAGCTAAAACTGGATCTGATTATTACCACCACGTTCAATTTTTAATATGCTATCAAACCTTGGCTCTATTTATCTCAAAATGCTATAAATAAGTCTCAAACAAAACAGCTGGATTTTATTGTGCCTTATCTGTAAAGAAGGGGTATAAGCCAGCCGGCTCGGTCGCACTCAATTCGTTTGACGATCACTAAACAAAATTTGATACGCAGACAGATGGGAAGGCTTGAGCTCCACCCTGAAGATAGACCCCTTTACTTTGTTTCAAGTTGAAAGTAGAAGGATCCGTCGTGGTGAGGTTCTTCAGCTCGATATAATGGCAGTGCCATCAAAGCTGTGAAATCTGAACTTTAAAGAAATAATACAAATATACACCGATCGTATCTTTTTTTTTTGGGGGGGGGGAAAGGAAGCTGACTTCATTATTGCTTTTAACTGTTGCATATCCAATTTCACTGGCGATTATCAACAACGCTGACATGTTTCAACCACATTTATATCTTTGATCTGATTATATCTCGAACATCCACAGGCCACCTGGTCTTATTTTTCGCACTGTCATGTCCTGCAAAGCCCTCACAGCTGCTACGCTCAAACCATATAATAAGGACTTATCTGATCTGATATTTCATATCATTTTACGATCCAACAATTTCAGTTTCAAAGGTCATTTCAGAGAACCCAGCTGAAGGATAGCACTGTGCTGATTAGAAAGAGCCTTAATTACGTGGGCAATAAAAAAAGGCAATCAATTATTTCCAATGGTCAACAAGCTCGCAATGGGAGGACGCAAGATTAAGATAGTCAAGCTGTCAGCCAAGGCTCTGACAGTAGCACGCTTGCCTCTGAGTCAGAAGGTTGTGGGTTCAAGCCCCCAGGTCGGGATCTTGAGCTCACGGGCTGACACTGTAGTGCAGTGCTGGGGGGGGGGTCATCCTACGAGACGTTAAATCGAAGTCCCGACTGCCTCAGGATAAGGCTGGGTTCGACAACATTGTCCTGGCCAACAATCCTCGGGATACAATTCATCATTCACTTCATGGCTGATGGTGGGACATCGCTGTTGAGTTCACCCATACATCCATCTCTGAAAAATGTAGCTTCTTTGGACTTCAGAATTCTATATTCCAGAAAAAAAAGGAAATTTCTCGTCCGCTGGCCTGGACAAAAATTGTCCCCCGCCCCCCAATAAATTTTGGTCGCTCACTCCTTGGCTATTTGCGGAACATTGCTGTGCACAAATTGGCTATAATTCTCACCCACAAAATACACTCAGTCGCACAATGGTACAGAATGTTCTTCGAAGCGCTTTGAGACGTCTCAATGACGTGATAAGGCACTATACCACATGCAAGGATTATTATTCTTAGTTGTAGTAGTTGAATAGGACTAATATATTTTGCTGGAGCCTTGGGATGTCCTCCCGACGTGAAAGGTGCTATACAAATGCAATTTTGTTGTTGCACTGGCACAACACATGATACACTGCCACAAAACAAAAAGGTGTTATTTTCCAATGGTCGATACGCTTACTGACCCAAGCTGGTACCACAGCAGCTGACTTGGTCTGTCATATCTGCTCGTGTAATCTGCCACAAGCACTCTATCAAACAAATATCACTCCCCAAGTCAATGTACTAAATAATAGTAAAGTTATGGCTTACTGAGTGTGCTGCGCAAAGTGGCTGTGCATCTTCTCTGTGCACAACTTAGACCCTCTCTTCTCCCTACCCACTCAGCCACCTGCAGACACCAGTTATTGCTGGTGATTGCCTCGTTGACGTAATGGCTCGTTTAGCTCCCCTGAGCTGACCAGCATCAGAGGAGACAGGACTGGGAGTTGAAGATAGAGGGGAGAATGAAGTGGAGTTTAGAATGGCTGCCTGGGAGGAAGGGAGAAAGCTCCCGGTATCTTGATACACACAAATCCTGTATTCCACAAGCTTTAGGTTATGATTGCTTCAAGTATATTTTGATGATCAGGTTGAGATGAACCATTAATAATAATAATCTTTGCGTTTGATATAGCACCTCATCGCGTCTTCGAGACATCTCAAAGCGCTTCACAGACTACACTGTAAAGTGAATCGACTGTATATTTTATGGGAAACACGGGGGTAATAGCGGGTAATACACATTTATTATCCCCGAGAAATCCAAGAAGCTGCAATGCACCTCATGAACTTCACTGCTTGAATGTAAGAGGTTTCAGCTGTGAGATAATAGACTTTATGTCTCTTTGACAGGGAGGTGTACGTGGCCAGTTGGATCTGATGGACTGGGGTGTTGAATAAATGAATCCTTGCATTTGATATCACACCTTTCACAAGGTAGTCTCAACGCCCCTTCGCAGGATTTACTGTAAAATGTACTGTCTGTACTAATAATGATGATAATCCTTGCATTTGATATTGTGCCTGATCACGTCATTGAGACCTCTCAAAGGGCTTCACAGAATATATTGGAAAGTGGATCGGGAGTGGAGGAAACACAGCAGCCAATTGCGGTGTCCCACAAACAGCCGTGGATTGAATGACCAAATTCTTTTGTGTGTATTTTTTAGGGGAACGTGGGAGCCAATTAATGCACAGTATTGTCCCATAATCAGCCAACTGATTCACCGCAACTCAAATAATTGGATTGAATATTTCCGTAGTTCCTTACTGGAAAGGATAATGACATAATATCCGATTTCCAGTATCGTAGAAGAATTTGAAGTTGTTGTGGCAGATATATCAAGCTTAGGTCATATCACTGCTGTGTGAAACAAGATAGTTCCTCACCTGTTGTTCAGATCTCATGAAAGACTCAGGTAATAAGATGATACGTGTAGATTAGAGGCATGTCCTGGCACAGTTTTTCAGGACGATATCTACTGTGCCAGAAATGTATTGGCGCCATCTTTCACCCACAAAATACACAGTCACTCCACTTGACAGTGTATCCGGTGAAGCGCTTTGAGACGTCTCGACAACGTGATAAGGCGCTTAAGGATTATTTTTGCTATTATTACTCCCTGACTGTCCAGCGATTCAGGGCGTCCTCCCGACGTGAAAGGCGCGATACAAATGTCATGCTGTTGTTGTTGTTGCGAGCGTCGACTGTGAACGCGTTAATCGTGAAGGAAACATTCCTCGCGCAAAAATACAAACCAGACGCCGACAAAAAAATTCATCAAGAGTCGCTTCTAGTTTTATTTATTCGCTACAATCACTTGTCTTTCACGATCTAAATATCAGCGGAAACACACGACATCGCGCGGCTAAAGAAGAAGCATTCGGATCCCAGCTCAAGTTTTGTTTTTATTGTTTGCGCAGCAGTTGAGCATTTCACAATCGCATCGATAGTAATGCTTCAACAGGGGTTGAATACTAATGCATAATAATGCAACCAGGTGCTGGGGTTTGGCAGTGTGAAGCAGTTTGGACGTAGAGGCAAAGGCTCTAGGGGTAAAATCCTGCGTCTTTGTAGTGCGATTCCAAACAGGCGTAAATGACACCGAACAACTTTGTCCAGGTCCCACGGATCTCAGGCGTGAACGCGTTGCCGAATGTCTCTTCCAGGATAGCTATGATGATGTTAAATATAATCTGCGACGAGAGAAGAAAAAAAGATCAGAGCAGAAGTCTCCGATATATCCTGTCAAACGTGCGCTTTGAGACGTCTCAATGACTCGATAAGGTGCAATATCAAATGCGAGGATTATCATTATTATCATTAATTCTTAATTACAGTCATTACATTTTAGCTTTTTTTTTTCTCCGTTATATTCACCGGGAAAGGTTTGACTAAGAGCTAAGCGAGCTAAGTGTGTGTAAAAAATAAACCCCAACAAAGTAATTTTACTTTCTTGAAAGGACTGTGAACGCAAAGCTTAGGAGTGCTCTTCGCCCACATTAAAGTGAAAGGTTTTCATTAAACTGAGTGTCCGTCCTTTAACTCTTCCCTTCAAATGTTCTTCCACGAACAGGCTGTTTGCTCTGTCGGTTACGAACTTCAATAGGATGGGAAAAAAATGTCTGATGCGGCTGCTTGTCCACAGGTTAAGCTGTATTTACAGGGTGACCGAAAAGTCGTGATACCATTTACAATGTCTAATAGGTCCTAAAGAAATTATTTATATCATTTTTTTTAAACAATAAGGTAGATATCACGACTTTTTGTATATTCCAACCGACTAACGTGAAGCATGCAGTGCAAATTGAGTTCACCACAATGTAATGCTCCTTTGATATCAGCATTATAAACGCACTCTAATATTTACTCTTATAAAAATATACTCGTCTGTTAATGTTTAAGCTAGTAGGTCCGGCCAATACATTTTTCACAGGACTTTTGTGCTGGAAAAAGTGCTGGAAAAAAATCAAGTTACACACACAGTTCACAGCTAGTTCACATGTTCAACTTTTACTTCCACTTTATTAGGGACAAGTCGAGTTATTTATTTGAAAGGCGTTGCCTCTTAATGCAATAAATCCTTTGAAAGCGATTTGCAATTACTCTCTTAGAATACAGAATGGTTGTGAATTGTTATGAGATTGAACACGAGTATACAGCATCACAAAAATATACTATATTCCTCTAGACCGATTCCCTCCACTTTGCTCTCTCTTTGACTGGCTTCAGTTCTCCTCTGAAGACTTTCCTCTGAGAAGACCTTGCCCAGAGTCACCTCCCCTTTTTATTCCCAGCTCAAACGATGCCCTTGTTAAGCTCTCCATGACACTCTCCCGCGTGAAGGGTAAATGCGAGTGATTGTTGTCATTTTCAATAAGAATTATAATAATAACAAATCTGCCGTGTAATATAGAAGTAGATAATTATTTGGGGGAAGGACAAGCTTGCAGGGCTATGGGGAGAGAGAGCGCGGGGGCGAGGGATTGATTTGGAAGCTCTTTTCAAACAGCCAGGACAGATTCCATGGGCCGAATGGCCTCCTTCTATGCTGTATAATTCTATGATTCCATATTGCGCCTTTCACGTCAAGCGAATATCTCAGAGCACTTCACAGGATTCACTGTTGCGTGTAGCGTATTTTCTGGGCCAATGCCTTATCAGGGACTCACCTGAAAGTTGTGCAAGTCCACTTTATGCACATTGATGTGTCTTTCTGCCATCTTTGCAAGTAAGCTGGAAAGTTCCTCCCCGTTATCCAAGTTGGCAATGAGCTTGTTCAGAGCCGACATCACTATTTTTCCGTGTCTTTTGATCTGCGGCGATTTCTTCATTTCCTCCAGGGTCGAAATATTCTTAAAATGCTGGAAATACATCTTTGTTTCGGGGTAGTCTGTGAACATCCTGAATTGCACAAGTTACAAAGAAAGAGTCATTTTTTTTTGGGGTGGTTTAATTTCGCGGACATTTTTGAAATGAGGGGCTTATCGTAACTCAGTAGGACTTTGCAGTTCGACAAGTTACGTTCACGAAATCCACAGTGACTCCACTTGGCAGTGTATTTTGTGAAGCGCTCTGAGACGTCTCGACGACGTGATAAGGCGCTATATCAAATGCAAGGATTATTATGATTATATTAAAGTAAGTCATTTGCCGACAAAATACACAATCAAGAGTGTTCCCTGCGAAGTGCTTCATGACGTGAAAAGCACTATATTAAATGTAATATTTATCATAAAGAACGTTTCTTGAAATCAGCATTGGTGGAGGGAAATTCAAAAAATGCCTGTTGTACTGTTGTTCTCATATTCAACACAAGAGGGACAGATTGAGGTATAAAACTGACTTTAGGAGTTGAATGTAATTTGTTGTACTTCAAAGTCATATTTACTTAAAGAAAATTACCTAACCCTTCACATCCGAAGTGTGACGTCCTGTACCATGTACCTGCTCATTACATCTCGGTAACTTAGCGGAAAACATTAATCAGTCTAAAAGAGACAGCGGAACATTACAATAAACATAGGTCGTATCAGCTGGAACCATACATTTAATATGACTTACGCAAAGTATGACTTATGTCAAACACTTGAACGGGACTTGGACAGACTTTGGCGATTGTACGATTAATACAGATCAGACATGTGTATTTTACTGTATTAAAGAGCGACAGTCGGAAATACGAACAAAAGTGGAGAGGAGAATTTTACAATAAGAATAATAATCCTTGCATTTGATACAGCGCCTTATCTCATCTTTGAGACGTCTGAAAGCACTTCACAGAATAGACTGTAAAGCCAATTAATTAAAAGAGGCAGAAGAGGGAAGAAACTGATAGGATTACCACTGATAGTTTGAGACGAGGCAGAGGTGGGTAGAATTGAAGATACCCGGTAGTATGAAGGGTAAGAATGAGATGAGAGGGAAGGATGGAGAAGGCTTTGACAATGAAAGAAATGTGGAAGAGAGAGAGGAGAAAATGCAGAATAATGGAGGAAACATAATTGAGGTGAGGACCAAGGTATTGTCAGAGGAATAAGGTTAGGCTGGTGGCCAAGGTAAGGGTGTTTTGGTTGATCAAAATAATCCATTGCTTTAGGGTCCACATGCTGGGACAGAGAGAGAAAGAGAAGGGACACATTTCAGACAGAAATAAAGACGAGGGGGGCTGACAATCTGAAAGACGAACTGGAAATGCTGGAAAAAAGCACAAGGCAAAGTCGATCAACAAACGTAAATTAACAAGACTTCTGACCAGAGTTTGGTTTCGGAAATGTGACACCGGGCAAAGTCCTACGAAGAACTCAAACCGTTTACTTTTAATTGCTGTGTGCAACTTCTGCGTTTCGTTCACAGACTTAAGAGTCGATTCACTTTACCGTGAAGGGCTTTGACAAGTCTCAATGACGTGATAAGGCGCTATATCAAAGGTCCGGATAATTACCATTATTTTTATTTATTGACTCTGGCTTTACTTTTAATCGACTCTGTTTGCAAGAATGCAATTATTTGTTAAACATTTGCCCTGTGGGATGGGTTATTTTGACAGTTCCATGCATTCGAGGAACTTTGCTTCCTCGGATGCATGGAATTGAACTTCCAACTGAACGTCAGCAAGACCGAGGCCCTCCTGATTGGCTCGCGCCAACGCCTCCGCACCTCGGACGCTGGCAGCATCAGCCTCCACGGCTGCACACTCAACCTCACTGAACCAGTCAGGAACCTTGTTTGACCTGAACTGCCTCACCCCCTCAGACTGCCGAAGCTCACCCATGTTTTCATCACACCAAGGCTCGATTATGGAAACTTCCTCCTCATCGGCCTTCCCAACTCTTCCCTTCACAAGCTGCAGATCATCCAAAACTCTGCAGCTCGTGTGCTCTCATGCCCCAGGCTCCGTGACCCCATCACTCCCACCCTCGCCCGACTCCACTGGCTCCCCATCCCCCAGAGGATCAAGTTCAAGATCCTTGTCCTCACTTTCAAGCCATCCCGCCCGACCTGCCCTACCATCGGTGGCCGGGCTTTCAGTCCCTCTGCCCCCACACTCTGGAACTCCATCCCACAGTCCCTTCGCCTCGGTTCCTCCCTTGCCTCCTTCAATGCCGGTCTCCAGACCCTCCTCTTTGATCATGCCTTCAGTCGCCCTCCCATCTCTCTGACTTCCCTCACCCCTACCCCACCCCAATGCTCGGGTCCTGACCCCTGACTGTCCAGGACCTTGGGATGTCCTCCCGACATGAAGGGCGTTCTATAAATGTGATTTTGTTGTTGTTGTTGTGGTGGTTGCTTCAAAATCTTACTGATTCCTGCCCTGTCCTTTACACCTGAACCAATTTTCATCACAAAGGCAAGTTTTGCTTTCTTTAAAGAAAACAAATGGCATAAATCTGTACAAACAGTCATTGGCAACCTCTTTCTCTCTCTCTCTCTCTCTCTCTTTTTTAAAAAACAAAGTGACTTGTCAGATTTCCCACAGGGGTTCCCATTGATCAGAGTTTAACAATCAAAGAGTTGGTCAGTAAGTTATCTGATAACCCTGGAAAGTCTGTGTGATGTTCATTCCCATTGAGAGGATTCACTGCGAGTCGAGAGTGGAGCTCTTTTGTGAAATCAACTCGTGGAACTTCTGGCGAATACAGGCAATCTTGATGCCTGTGTTTTCTCACACACCCACTCGCACTCTAAATCCTGTCGCCCAAAACAAGCAGCAGTTTTTTTTTGAAAAAAACACTCCTACCTGAGTACAATCGTTCTGCCATTTTCCTCTGGATTCTCATACAACTTTTCCCAAATGAAGTGAATGTTTTCTTTGTCCGCTTCCGTGATGCCGGTCATGGTTGGTTGATGGCAATAGTGAAAGGCAGGTGTGCGAGCGCGTGACTTTCTTGTGCGATGAACCTTCTGCTTCGAAAGAGAGTCTCGAACGGGTCGCTTGCCCTGTAGCTACAAGTCACTTTTATGCACTCTACAGGTTTTTTTTTTTCTGTGGCAGCAGCACGTGTTTCCCTTAATAAATCACGCCCCGTATTGCAGTGTCTCCACCCTTGCTTCTGCACAGATGGTCTCTTCAGAAGTTAAAGGCTTTATATTCTATCGCACATGTGTTTTGTATCTGGACAATTGCAGGCCAGTAGAATAACTCACCAATAAAATCCCACCAAGTTTCGGGCGACTTGAGTGGGCAAAGAATAATGACAACGAAATAATTTTTAATAATAATAATAATAATAATAACCAAGATTTTATTATCAAAGAATTTTGTTTTGGAAAAAAAACTTTCACTTTATTTTGTGCCACAACACAAATGAATAGTTTGGTCGCCCGATCCACGACTGTTTGTGGGACGCTGCTGTGTGCAATTGGCTGCCACATTTCACCCACAAAATACAAAGCCAATTCACTTTACAGTATGTTCCAATCTGCCCGCTCCCTCCGTTCCTCGGGCTCCGCCCTGCTCCATGTCTGCCGCCCGATCCGCCCTCTCTGCCCCCACACTCTGGAACTCCATCCCAAGGTCCCTTCGCCTCGCATCCTTCAAGGCCGGTCTCAAGACCCTTCTCTTCGATCGTGCCTTCGGTCTCCTTCCCACCTCTCTGCCTTCCCTCACCCCTACACCCCCCCTCCCCCATGCTCGGGCCCCGACACCTGACTGTTCAGCGCTTTGGGACGTCCTCCCGACGTGAAAGGCGCTCTATAGATGTCATTTTGATGTTATATCCTGTGAAGGGCTTTGAGACGTCTCGACGACGTGATAAGGCGCTGTATCAGATGCAAGGATTATTATTATTACAACTTAGCTTCCAAAGCAACATTTATGTGTTGATAATGTGTTCAGAGACCTCTTTTGATGAGGGGATTGATATGGGGGGGGGGGGCGGAAGCAAAATTAGTACAACTATCATGCCCCTACATCATCCAGAGTTATCTTATGTATTCCCCCTCCTATACCAGAGGTTTATCTTATATTAACACACAACAACAAATTGATTTATATATTGAGTGGTTTAAGTATCTCGCTTTTACTTAGACTTGTTGAACCGATTTGCTTGGTTTATTTTTGTGTCAGACCCATTCGGTTGTTTTATGGATACAACACAGACACAGACAGCCTCTACTGCCTCAGGACACATTTCACATGAGACGATGAAAATGCAGTCTGGGGCTCGAAAGTGTGGCAACAAGTGTGGGGGTGGGGGGAAGAAAGAGAGAGAGAGAGAAAGGGAGTGAGAAAGTCTCACTGTCTCTTTTAACTGCAATACCCACAAAATAAATCAAAGAAGTCTGTCTGGCATGGTATTCCCTTTCCAAATCTGAGTTGACTATCATTTGTTAATTTAACACTAACCCTGTAAGCTTCCAGCATACTTTTGATAAATTACACGGAATAATAAAAATAATAACAGTCCTTGCGTTTGTACAGCAATGTTCGGTTCAGTATTTCTGTGGTTACGTGAGTCAGTTTTGTCATCCTTCTTAAACACGGGTCTTAACAACAACAACAAAACTACATCTGTATAGCGCCTTTCACGTCGGGAGGACGTCCTAAGGCGCTGAAACAAGTGCGTCCGATTCTGGTCCCGAGGAACCTCACAATCGATTGCTGATCGATTCCACACTGAAGACCGTAAAAGTTTCCTTTATTCCCTCACTCCTCTCTGCCATTTGAGGTCGTGACTGAGGGTTTGATTGAGTCTTAACGTATCCGGACATATCGAGTAGCTGCAGCACCAGCTTCCAAAAGCCTCGGGGACATTGAGAGCACCTGATGGAAATCAGATAGTGACTATTATCCTATCTGATGAATACTTGTTAAAAATTACACTGGGAGCCGTCCATTGAATCACAGTCATTTCACACGTACTAATCCTGTGACCTTGCAAGTTCAGACAACATAATTGTTTTACTGTGTAATTCCATTCCATTCTGGAGCCCTGTAGCTCAGTGTTTAGAGCACTCGCTTTGCAAGTGAGAGACCTGAGTTCAATTCCAGGCAGAGGGCGAAACCTTGGGCAAGTTTCCTTACTCCACACAGAGCCTAATAATAATCCCTCCAAAACCAAAAACAATAATAAATTGGTCATTTTCAATCCACGACTGTTTGTGGGACATTGCTGTGCGCAATTGGCTGCCGCGTTCGCCCACAAATATACAGTCAATTCACTTTACAGTGTGTTCTGTGAAGCGCTTTGGGACGTCCTCCCGACGTGAAAAGCGCTATATCAAATGCAAGGATTATTATTATTTCTGAACCCCCAGCAATATGGTTTAAAAGAGGAGACACCATTTTCCCCACAAAATCTACCAGAGAACCACCCACGCCCCCCCTGCCGTGTATTTGACCGTCTCAGTTACTTTTTTTTGCTGTAATTCTGACTTTTTGCAATTACAACAATAACGTGCATTTATATAGCGTCCTTCATTCCTGGGGTGGGGGGTGGGGAGGAGTTGGGGGGTGGGGTGTGAAGATGACCGTAGGCATGGTCGAAGAGGAAGGCCTTCAAGCGTGACCTGAGAGTGGTTAAGCCAACGAAAAGCCAAATACACTTATTTCACAAATCCCATGGGCGTCATTGAGCGAAGCATCTGCATTCACAAATAGGATGAATTTTGTACTGAAGATTGCGACGTAGATTTTGCTCAGGGTATGTTTTGCACTGTAGCTTGTCTTCGCTTCTCTCGATTTCTGTAAACATTACTGTTCTCGAGGACACTTTGATAACTTTCGTGCCATTCCCCGAAGTGGTTTACAAATCTCGCCAAAGAAGTCAATGTGTCAAAATGTTATGGTGTTAATCTTACTCGGGCCTTCAGACTTTCTGCCCCCAACCTTTGGAGCTCCATTTCACTCCCTTCGCCTCACCCCCTCCCTTGCCTTCTTCAAGCCCCGTCTCAAGTCCCTCCTCTTCGACCTCGCTCGGGTCCAACTCCTTGAAGGTCCAGTGCCTTCGGACGTCTTGGGACGACGTGAAAAGGCGTTTTACAAATGTAATTTGTTGCTGTTGTCGTCACTCGGTTGTCTGGGGATAATCGTGTTGCCCAAATCAAACTCAAAACAAATGATTTTAAAAATCACACCTGACCACGCCACTTTTATGAGCAAGTTTCAATGGGAAGAAGTGAAAAATGGCAGAGAAGCAGTGTTTTTTTTTTAAAAAAAGCGTTAAGAGTCTGGTTAAGTTCTAAATATGCTGATGAGGAATTAATAAATCCAGAAAACACCCCACCTTGTGCTGTAATCTTTTATGAGCCGCTGTAATTTGATTACATAGCAACAGGAGTAGGCTCTTCAGCTTCTCAAGCTTGTTCTGCCATTCTATGAGATCATGGCAGATCTGTACCTCAAGTACAGTTACCTGCCCTCACCCTGTATCCTTAATCCCGACCTAACAAATATTCAAAAAAATGCAGTAATTGCTGGCAGTAAGAACTAGTTAATACACTTGCAGTTCTAACTGTAACATTCCTAATTCTACTGATCTGTAGGAACAGGTTTGATGGTGCCCAGAATTTCCTGCTCTCAGTATCTTACAAAAAAAAAAGGACACTTAAATAAATCTAGGACTTAACACACTGCACCGTGCTGCTAAATTGTCAGATTCGCGGTCAAAGTTAACTCAAGCTCACCATCGGGTTCAAAAAAAAAAGGGAGACAGCTGCTTAAAAAAAAAGTTACTGTAATTAATGACAGATTTCACAATGTCGAAAGAAATTGCTGACAGCAAGAACTAATTAATTCCCTTGCGGAGCTCACATTCCTGATTCCACTGTTCTGCAGGAACATGTTTGTTTCATGGTGGCCAGAATTTCCCGCTCTCAATAGTTCCTTCCAGTCAACAGGGAATTGGGTAAGCATTTCCAAGAGCGGCGAGCTTGCGAGCATTAAAACACTCTGCCCAATTTCAGAATTAAAAACATTTACTTTATTTACCCTTTGGTGCTGTGCAAAAAAAAAAAAAAAAATTGCTGTTTGGAGAGAGGCTTCAGGAAGCATTTGTCTGTTAAATGCTATGCTAAGTGGAAATTTAAATCAACCACCACAAACAACTTGCGCTCACATAGTGCCCATCACGCAGGGTAGCATCTTGGAGAGCCTAACAGCTGACTCTGAGCCAGAGGGGAAGGTGACCGTAAGCACGGTCGAAGGACGAGGTCTTCAGGTGTGATCTGGAAAAGGGGAAAGAGAAGGCAATGCGGAGTTCCAAAATTTTAGGCCAGTAGTGGCTAAAAGCACGACTGCCGATGGTAGAGCGGAGGGTACGAGGGACAAGCAGAGACAAGCAGTGGAGTGGAGGTCGGTGAGGTAGTGCTCAAGGTATGAACCCTCGTAAAATGCTGGAATGCCGGCATTGCTGAAAAAGCACAGCAAGTCACTCAGCATCCAACAACAGCAGCATTTCAGGCGTGTCTCTTTATCGGAGGTAGCATGGAAAGGATGGAGTTTCTGTTCTTTCGTACTCTCTTATAACACTGCTCGCTTTTCTTTATATTTTCTGTTTTCATTGCAGCGATAGATAAAACCGAAATCTGACATTTAAACTTCCTGTATTGCCACATTCAACAAAATATCTTTTCACCTCAGTGTATTGTTATCTGTACTAAACATGGCCGGATACGCAACTGAGTAATACAATCACAGGAATCTAGGAAATTGTATGAGTCTACAATTCAGGATGTATTTATAGAAGTATTATTTGTAGATGAATTCGGAGACATCGGAAGAAATAGAAGAAGCAGCTAAGTGTTCGGATAAACTACAAGTTCTCATCTGGAAAGAATAAGTGTTGAGTTTGAAACACTGTACTCTTAAATGTCTATTTTTGAAAACTAAATGAAAGAAAATGCATGTAAATAATAATAATACTAAGCCTTGCATTTAATATAGCGTCTTGTCACGTCGTTGAGATGTCTCAAAGCGCTTCACAGAATATATTGTAAAGTGAATTGACTGAGTATAAGTGAC